TTGTCTTCTCTTCCGATTTCCTCCTAGGAGACTACTCGATTTCTCCTTTCCCTCGTGTGTCCTTCCCAGTAATTATTGGCCGGAGAAAGGTTGTAATTAGGGATGGACCTGAGCTGCATCTCGGCCTATACACAACTACCACTAACCCCTTTCCCCCTAGCCCCATCCTTGCCCTTTTCTCCAAGTCCCAATACGAATTTATCTAATTTAACAGAGTTTTAGATAGAAGAGCTTACAGTATCAGAGTTTCACATACTTTCGTTGCTATATATATATTATATATATATATATATTTACGTATGTATATACACACATACATAGAATCGATAAAACGTGGCTACCCTCTTCGTGTATTTCCAGTTTACTAATTTGCTCTACCTACGTAGATCGTGTTGGTTAAAGCAAATAAGGGTTAGGTAGGGAGAAAATTTACATTGCCATTAATGCCGTCGTATGTTCGGTGTTTGGAAACACGTTCGCTGCACTCGCGAAGAATGATAGTCTCGTTTGGATCGGCCTGGAAGTGACCTGAACGAACGACGATAAACAGATCTTCTTGAAAACGTGATTACTCGAAATTAGTGATACTAATGTTATTATTTTCTTTTCTACGAAATTAGAAGACAAGAAAAGAAAAAGAATAGAAGAAAAAAATAACAATGGTTGATCTAATTTGTAATCTTTTTACTTTAAACTTATAAGAATTCTCGCGACTAATCGATAATTCCTAAAAGTTCGATATCGCATAGAAAGTAATATAATGTTTTTTTTTTTTAAGTTTCGTTAATTATCACGAAGTATTTTATATTCACCTTAAGAGGTAAAATGTTTTACTTCGATCGAAATTAGTCTACTAATTAGCACGTGTCGAATATATCTTTCTTTAACGGTAAAGAGTCCAGAGACCCAACGTTGGACACGATGGGAAGAAAACCATTTTCAAAGTCGTGAGAATGATAAAAAAGAAAAAAGAAGAAGAAGACCAAAANAAATTAACGAGATTTCAAAACTCTTAACTATGGAGAATTTCTTTCTCTCTCTCACACACACACACACTTTCTGTCTTCGGTGAATCGAGAGTTTCCGAAAATTATACGGCTCTGCCTTTTGTTTCGGTTCCTTACATAAATTAGGGATAATCTTCTTAAGTTTTCCCGCGTAGAATTTAAACTTCTACTTTCGATCATCGTCGTAGGAAAACCGTGGTATAGTAGGAGCTTTCAACTTTCAATTCGAGGATATTCGAATCTTGCGTTCATCCAGGTGTCACTTTATTAAGAACATTTTTTGAATCATTGTTCTTTTCTTTTTATGGATTAAATAATTCATAATTCACACGAATGAATTATGATTAGAATGATAAATCCTTTTTTTTTTTTTTTATTGAATTATTCCAAATATCATAAATAATATGTTTTAAAAATAAAATTAATTTTTTAATTATTTCTTTATATTGTTCATCAAATTATATTATTCAATAATTTATCTGTTAATGTTAAAATATAGAATCAGGTAATCTACAAATTACCTGGATAATGTTCATATTAATTGTTTTCAAACTTTAACTGTAACACATTTATAACTTTTACAAATCAAAATTGTTAAATCAAATATAATTATTTATTAAACAAATTCTATTCTAGTATTTACTATTTTTACAGTATGAAGTGTTTTAATAAATAATTAAAATAATAGGTGGAAAGTGAATACATTGAGAAGATTTTTACCTTTAGAAAAGATTCACATGCAACCCTCGATGTTTGAAATTCTCGCGAATGGCCCTACATTAGTAAACCCCCTTCCCCTACCTTGTCGATGTCTCGAACTTATGGTTAACATCGATAAAGGAAAAGGGAAGAGTAGTGAAGAAGGAACGATACGAGAATGAACGTAAAGTCGATAATATAAATGACATCTAAATGCCATAACTGAGTTAGTACACCCCTCAGTCATGGGCATCAGATATATATTATAATATAAGATACTATTAAGAGGGAAAAATGGGGAAGGGGGAAGGGAAAAGGGGGATGAAATCTTTCCTTGATATCGTCTGAAATGAAATCTTACAAACCGTTTCGATTAAACGAATACAAACAAAAATATATATGTATATGTATATTAATATATCTTCTTATCTTAAAATATATATAAATTACGTGTCACGTTGTTTGTCCGCAATGGACTCTTAAATTACTGAACCGATTTTAATCAAATTTTGCACATTGTATGCAGTTTCAACCAACTTGAAAGATAGGATAGTTAAGATCTCAATTTATAATCGCAATATTAATTGTTTATTAACAAAGAGTCATGATTATGTCTGTTAGTTCGATAAGATTCTAACAGATGGCGGTATAAGATAATTCGTTAACTTAATGACGTGTGTATCGGACTTATTTACATGGAAAATTAAAAATAATAAAATTATTTATTACGATTGATTTCACGTCATTCTTAGTCAAACGTTCATCAATGCTACGACGAGTTAAAGGCTTGCACTATTCTCAATAAATATCGATAAACGCACACATAAATGTCGTCCCACACACACAGACACGTAAATACACACATACACAAAAAGATATCCCAGTTGACATGTAAATATTGGATATTCTCGTGAAAATTAGCTTGCGTTGAATCGACGCTAGTCAGAAAATCTAATTCGCAAAAGGATCGGTGTGTTTCGTTTCCAATTTCGCAACTCGCGATGTTATTTTTTTTATTTTTATTTTCTTTTTTTTTTTTTTTTTTTTTTTTTTTTT